CCTTCAACTCCTAGTTTCAAATCCTGTTGACCTCCCACCTCCCCACATGTTAAACTCTGCATGAACCTTTTCCACCCCCTGTATAGACTCTGTTGGACCCTCTTTCTACCCCGCTAGTTAAACTCCACCCCTTTTGACGCCCCCCTTAGTTAAACTCCTGTTGACTCCTTCACCCCTAGTTAAACTCCTGTTTGACCTTTTCCCAACCACCTCTCCCCCCTTAGTAAACTCCTGTTGACCCCTTCTCACCCTCATTAAACTCTGTTGACCCCTTTCACCCTCAGTTAAACTTCTGTTGACCCCTCTCACCCCCTATTTAAACTCCTGTTGACCCATTCTCACCCTCAGTTAAACTCCTGTTGACCCCTTTCCACCCCCTAGTTAAACTCCTGTTGACCTCCCACCTCCCCTAGTTAAACTCCTGTTGACCTCTTCCAACCCCTAGTTAAACCTCTGTTGACCCCTTCCACCTCCTAGTTAAACTCCTGTTGACCTCCCACCCCCCCAGTCTAATAACTCCTGATGCACCTTTTCCACCCTAGTTTAAACTCCTGTTGACCTCCTTCCACCCCCTAGTTAAACTCCTGTTGACCTCTTCCCACCCCCTAGTTAAACTCCTGTTGACCCCCTCCCACCTCCTAGTTAAACTCCTGTTGACCTTCTTCCACCTCCAGTTAAACTCCCATTGACCCCCTCCCACCTTCTTGTTAAACTCCTATTTACCCCTTCCACCCCCAAGTTAATCTCCGATTGACCCCCTCCCACCCCCTAGTTAAACTCCCATTGACCCCGGGTTAACCTCTTGTAGTTGGATATGTGCGAGTGTATGGACATTGTCAATTGATCGTATGCCGTGCATATTGGAACGTGGATGTTCCGATGCCATATCTGAAGCATGTTTTCTTGTATTGTCTCTCATTTCTTCCAGTATCTCTTGCTTTGGGCCTCAAGCATTGAAGGTTGCGGAATGTTAGCAGTTAATGTAGAAGCTCATTGTATAGGTAGAGTAACGTCACGCTTGATTGCTGTCGGGTGTTTCTAGGAGTCGCCACATGTCATCACCATGTCGTATCTTTGTAACGGACAAGTGCTGTTGCTGTAACTTCGCTGCATAGCACGAATATGTTTATAATACTAAGTATTTGTGATTCTATACCAACAGGTTACCACGGAAACGCACGTGAATGAAAAGTCGTTTCAAGATTCGAGATTTGAAGATCAGCAGAATCGTCTACACTCGGTAATTTTGTAATAAAGTGTAAATTCTATGCATAAAATATCCATGTAGCTACGTGTGTTTAATACGTAGATAAGGTACATTACTATAGCTGAATTGTTGGTTGTGAATGATACGTAATAATGCCGCACCAAACATCCTCTGTGAGTTGCTACTTTGTGTCGAGTCTGCTGGTTCGCATTGTGTGTGAAACAGAGGTTTTGTAACATTCTTGTATACGGCTTTAATATTCTAAATATACATGCAAATTAATGAAAATGCATATTTAATATATGTGGCTTCACGCTCTAACACAGTAAGTAGCAGCCATCATGTATACGCTGTCAATATGTTTACTCAAATAATATCATTCTCTTTGCATGAAGGCTGATCTGGAGAAGGGAGAGCTAATGTCCAAATACTCCGCTGTCAAGGAGATGGCCTATTCTCTCGAAGGTCAGGTCAAGAGTCAGACACAGCAAATCAGCCAGCTGAAGGATGAAGTGAACCAACACAAGGGCCAGGCAAATCAAATGAGGTACGCATGTCTGCTTGAATCGTGCAAACTAGTTGATACCGTCGTCGACAGATGGGTTAGAATACCCAGGCATGACACTGTGATTGCTGTAGGCAGTACATAATGCTTTATCAGCATACTTAGCAATGTTAAACACTAACAGTATAGCTTAAAGTATAAGCGAGTCACATTTACATGACTAGCGCGGTCGCTGTGCCCCCACAGTGCCCCTCAATGCCGGCTACACGTCTCACACTCGGCGGTACATTGCACTGCTAGTCCGGCACGGAGCAGTCTGTGATAGCGGCGGGACGATTCATCGGTATATTGATGTGTTGCGATACAGACCTTGAAGATACACGTATCGATGCGTTTGATCACCATTCACGATAGAAGTATCGGTACCCTACCGACTCAAATCCATATCATTTAGTAACGTTGCATCCAAAAACGCTAGAAACGTAACACGATTCGCAATTTCATAGCGTTTGTTGACTAAGCGCTCAACGATACACAATTTTGTAAGCATTCACAGGATTGGTGGAGTCCCGCTTAAGTGTATAATTTGCTAGGTAGTTTCCCTTGAAAGTATCGCGATACGTATTGTATCGTGAAGCAAGGTATTAGCCAGGAAAGAGTATTGTGGGAGTGCCAAAAAAACATTTGGGAGTGCAATTTTCTTTACGCAAACAAATGTACATGGCTTTAGATCGATATTTTAGGCCGTGCTACACATTTTTGGCCATGCAGTTTCAAAACTGACCGTGCAAATCACGGCTTCACGGCTCGCTGGCTAATACGTTGTCGTGAAGGCTCGTGATACTGATCGCATCGTGAAGGCTGTATCATGATACAGATCGTACCCGCATCATCCCACCCCTAGTCAGCGAGCTCAGTTATTAACTTCACCTCCGAACGGCACTCTCGGAGCAAACCAAAGCGGTCACTGTGATATTTATCCGTTCCATCTCCTTATTGTCGGGCAGACAACTTGCGGAGCAGACCGAGCGCAGTTTGGACGACCACCAGTTCCGGCTGTCGCGCAGGAGCGTAGACCTGCAGTCTGCTGAGAAAACTATACAGGATCTGCGTGCGTCGCTAGGTGCGTGCCGTTCTACGTTCGTTATGTTCTGTGGTGTTCGTTCTGTCTTGTCTGCATGTGTCTAGGAGTGTGTCGTTCTCTGTTCGTTATGTTCTGTGGTGTTCGTTCTGTCTTGTCTGCATGTGTCTAGGAGTGTGTCGTTCTCTGTTCGTTATGTTCTTTGGTGTTCGTTCTGTCTTGTCTGCATGTGTCTAGGAGTGTGTCGTTCTCTGTTCGTTATGTTCTTTGGTGTTCGTTCTGTCTTGT